TGTGGTACGCTTTTGATGTACCTAGAGGTGGATTTTCTGTGCTTGGCGTAGTACATCCCGACTGATCGGAATCTTAAGTATCGCCACTGCCGGGGAATCAATCGGCCATGAAGACCACGGCATCAATAAAGGCAACTTATAATCGAGTAGGTCTCTCGCTTTTCACGTCTTCGAGGTCTGTAGATATGTTCGTAATTCTAGAAGAATCATGTCCGATAAGCCGGGACAAATGCGCCTTAAGTGTAGGGATAGCATGGCACCGATATACGTGGAGAACACAACGAGCAAGCTGTAATCATGTTCAACCTCGATCGTGTGAGCAAGCGGTCTCAACGAGGGAGCGTTTCTCGATTGTTTGACATATTCGACGAGAAAACTTCTTCACTACTTTCGAAATCTGTGATACCGCTTATTTTGATTCTCTTAGGCTACGGCATTCTTCCATTGCATTATAATGTTCAGATATCTGCCTGGTTAGTGGCATACGTTTTTTCGCCACGATGCGGAGTGGCTCAGCGTTAGCAGACAAAATCTTTTCTCCATCGTGTCCAGATGCTGGCCGTATCACAACAATTTGATGAAGCCTGGGCCAGATCAGCGACGCCACGGTCTCAACAGGATGCGAGAGAAGTAATTGTCGAAATAAGCTTGGAAAAACGACATGGTGCCTTGCAATGCACTGTTGATCTATAACCAATTCATTTTAGTTAGATGGATCCACATTCAGCGCGTGCCTTTCCTTAACCCGAGCGTTCCTTAGTTTGCGATCGATCGACAGTCCAGAACCCCCAATACTGTAGTGTGTAATTTCAGGCACAAGCCAGAACTGAGGAGGAACAGAAGAGCGCGATCATTGTCATTTTGGAAAGAATTCTCGAGATCGAGGATCAGTCACACTTCCTGTCCTGGCAGATGCTAATATGCGCACTGTCATTCACAGCATACTGATGGAGGGTTCAGTGAACGAACCAATGCGTCTCTACCAGCTGACCGGAGCGCCTACTAAGATCATATGGCCGATGTCTCCGACCTAGCAGATTGCATCTGGGAGGTGCAATCTGGTAAAGAAGTTACATCACCACTTGATACTATGTATCGATGTCTACTTTAAAAAGCCGAGTAAGAGAGGGCGAGCAACTGTACTGTAGAATGGCTCATCTAAACTATCGAAATGACTGAAGTCATCGATGTCTCACCACCGTCAACGTCGGATCGGCACTCTCGAGGTGCTGACCAGAAACCCCAGCATCTTCTTGAAAACAATTGCTAGCTAGTTCGCAAAGGCCAGTCGAGGAACCATAGAGGCGAATTCTCGGTTAAATAATGAATCTTCGAGCAGGGGTCGCGAGTGTACTAGGCAGTATACCTTGCTCCGATGAAGTATGTGAAACCCACCATAAAACCCCTTAAGACGATCTTGTAAATATGTCGGTTGCGTGGTAGGGCTTGATGTCGTGACATGGCCACAATTTGGTCAAGATTGACTTCAAGATGAAGAAAAGATAGGGGTAAACAAGTGGATTACTACAAACCCATATAATAGCCGAAACCGTTTGGTGGCTGGCTCATAGTGGGCCATCTTGAAGAAACCTTTCCCATGAGGGTATCTATCGCCGCCTTAGTCTGGGTCAATCCTTGTTCCCAGATAAGCCGAGGCTTAATACCCCACCCCAAGACTCCAAAGCACACCTCAAACCACCGGTAATGATGATGCATGACTAGTGATGCACAGTACATCAGGCCTGTTCTGGCACCTGGAGCTTATGCTTTGCAGTAGTCATCTTTGTGGCAGGGATGGCACCCCTACTCGCAGATGAGCGGCAGTTTTCTTTACCAATTCCTTCGTGTCTCGATTCACCATCGGCAGTTCAGAAGCAGGTCCGAGCGAATGCATTCATCTCATATACATTTTGAAGACGCGAAAGCGAAACCCTCCCAACATGCACCCAAATGCATGGTCCATCCGATCGATGAACACTCCTTCCCGAAGCTTGTATTGGTCATATATCAAATAAGACCTTGCTACTTCCCATGCTCGTTGTTTTCCAATTGTGGACGACACAAGGTCCCCTGGGAGCACAACAGCCATGGCTATTGAGAATCGAGGACCAGAGCTCCAAGCTGTTTGTTACACCCTTGTAACAACAGCCTTTGTAGCCGTCTGCCTCAGGGTCTATGTCAGAACATGTATCGTCAAGAACTTTGGCGTAGACGATTACTTCATGCTTGTTGCTTTCGTGTGTTTGTTTTCAATCCGATTTCTGCATCACGAGCCACTGACTTTGTTTTTGAGACATTTTTCACCCTTTTCGTTAGCTTCGCATTAGCAGGCGTTCACTACGGCACGGGCCGACACCGAGCTGACTTAGATACTGAAGACTTCAAGGAGGCGATGATGGTAAGCAGCTCTTCGCATCGAAAGCATAGCAGAACACAGTACTGATGACAAGCATCTAGTACTGGTGGTATTGCTACCTCTGGTACTGCATCTCAATGATTACATCCAAAATATCCATCGGGTATTTCCTCTTGCGAATCACAGTTAGAAGGATCGACGTATTACTCGTTTATGGCACCATGCTCATCACGGTTCTCACGGGGGCCATTTTTTTCTTTGTCACCTTGCTTCAGTGTCGCCCGATTTCCTTTTTCTGGAACAGGGATCAAGAAGGCTCTTGCATCAACGTAGAGGTCATCATTGCGCTCACATACCTATACAGTGTGTTCAGCGTCATCTCCGACTTTACCTGTGCAATTCTCCCAATGTTCTTGATTTGGAAACTGAACATGGATCGGAGGAGTAAAATTGCTCTCATTCCCATTATGGCGATGGCCTGTGTGTTCGTATTGTCCTTCGCCTCGTCGCGTATGCGCAGCATCTGATTGAAAGAACAGAGCCAGTTCCGCGGTCGTTGTGCGATTCCCTTTCGTGAAGGATTTTAGAAATCCTGACTTCCTGTGTAAGCTTCCTCGATGATACTTGAGTGGAAAATCACAAGTCTCACCTACATATAGGGGCAACCATCGACATTGCGCTCTGGTCGACAACGGAACAGGGTCTGGCTGTCACAGCCGGTAGTCTGGCAACCCTTCGACCGCTACTACGAATTCTCACTGCCAAAATGAGCACGTCGTCGAATCCGTCCGGCATTCAAAGTACAGAACACCTGAAAGGGCTCGGATTCCAGAGCGGGGGCAGCCGGGGTCCTAGCAGAGGTCCCTTCTCACTCACTACTTTTATGCGTGGTGATGACAATAGTATACAGATTGCAGATGAAGAGCCCGAGTCTGAGAGATTTAGAACTGACATCAACGACAAGTCATGGAGTGGAAATGTTGTTTCGGAGTGGCAGAATCGGAACGAGAGCGAGGCGGAGTTGACAGGGATTGATGGAAAAGGGCAAACTATCAAAATAACAACGACGATCAAACAGCAAGAAGAGCGAGGGATGTAATTTCGTCGATTCTGGGTCAATCATAATTTCATCAGCTCGCTCTTACGGCTGCCAATCTTTTGTCGTCTCAACTTGGGAGATGTCCGCCAGCGCAAGGCAAGTCAGACAAATATTTGTAATGATGACAAATGAAATAGAGGGTCTGCTTGGCTGCTTTTCTGCTATCATAAGAGATACTATCGATGGAGCAGCTTTGGAATCGTTCGTGTTTCTATCATACTGTAATACCTGCTGGGATCTCATGAGAGCGATGGCGCCTCTCGACTGTCCGTTCTGTGACTTCTTTATAAACACGTAGCAATAGGTTGCGGAGTCGAATCATTAGCGAGCATCGAGAAGAGGTTTAAGAATTACGTAAGATGGAAAATGGCCTTCACGGAGGAGGGGTGAAGGTCTAGTCCAGCCAGGGCCTGTGCGAGTAATCTGGAATCGACAAACTCTACAAAAATGAGACCGTGAGGAACTTGCCTGATCACGATGGCCGTTTTCCTTACTCCGTTCATAGGATCAGAAGATCGATAGCTCCAAACCTCTATCTCCAGCAGCCTGGTGTTTCCGACAAGCGACAGGAGAATGCAAAGCCTTGGTGCTTGGTTCATGTGGTGAACACATTGACCATAAAGTACAATAAAAATTGACTTCATGCCTTGCCGGGACGAAATGACCACGAACATCGGCACCGCCCTCGAAGACCATGGGAGGCAGCCCATTTACTACTAATTGTTATAAACGAAGGTTTCTGTTCAGCATACAGTCAATTTATCCATCTTAGTTTTCAGTATAACTTCATCCGTCAATGTTTTGAGTTGACCTGGCCTGCTTAGCAGAAAACACGCAAGGCTACCAATACTAATTCACAATATTTAACATTAGCCTTGGGACAGTTATACGCTGGATCAAAAGTAGTAAACAAAGTCCACTGTATTTCATTGTTTACGCATAAACTGCTAAAGGCTGCACCTCAGAATTCGACTCCGTTGCCTCAATGATCGTATACGAAGACAGCCTCTTAGCCAAAGACAGCGACAAACTGGCTAATTTCCTTCCCACTAGCAGATCTCTAGGTTACATCCCAGGGATTATTATCTCATATACCTGACTTTAGAGAGCCTGGCCTTGTGTTCACCATAATAACAGTCACCAACACAAAAGTCGAAACTACGTTGACCAATCAAGTCTCTACTGGGACCTGAGAAGAACAGAAGGAGGAGAGGGAGGGGAATTAGTTGAGGAAAAGTCTGCCTCTCCACAGAGAAAGGAATGGATGGACAAACAATCCGCCAACGGGTTGATCTCTTCTGTGTGTGCATCTTCCAGCACCATGATCATGTACACCACCAACAACCAGGAATATGGTGACGGTATTTCCAAGACCTGAGCCAAGACCAAGAATTCCCGGGGCTCCTCTCTTGCTGTCTTTCTTCTCGTCGCCTGCCAGCATTCCTGCCTTCCTCTCTTCCTTCCTTTCTCCGTACTCAGATCTCAAATGGCCATCTCTGTTCTGAGTGCTTGCCGACGTCGCATCGCCCTCAGCCTTGTTTTCGTTCAATGTTGATTGGCATCGAGGGACAGCCGACTGGCTAGGAAGAGGTCCACATTGTCGCGAGGGATAGCAGCAATCCCCTGCCGACTCAACTTTGCCGTACTCAGCACATTGTGGCCCATCTCCTCGGCGCTGACGGTGCCCCATTGGTCAATGCTCTCCATCAGCATGGCAACGTCAAACAGCGGAGGACAGTGCCGTGTGGCCGAGGCCGCCGTCGTTAGGCCTAGGGCGTCCTGCAGTGTGTTGTTGCGCAGCGCGACGGGCACGTCAGGCTCGTTGGTGCGCCAGACGCCCGTCTCCGGGTCCAGGGGGAAGCAGTCGTAGACAATCCACACCGTTTTTTTCTCCTGTGCGATGCCGACCACTACCGTGGAAGCCTGACTGCTGGAAGCCCGCAGGGGCCCAACCCATGGCGATGCCCTTGTAGCTACGGTTGTCCGGGACCAAGAGCGGGCCGACGACGTGCACATACTCGGGAGGTGGGGAGGGATCTGTTGAAGAAGGAGAACAGGAGGAGCGGGAGACGATGGTTCTTGCAGTTGGAGTGCCGATGTCAGGAGTGCCGATGTCAGGAGTGCCGATGTCAACGGCATTGATTTCGCCCTTGGTCTTGTTGATCCCTTGTCAGACGCCTCCTCAGCCTGCTTCTGCTGCTCCTTCCTCCTTCTCCTGGTTTCCCTCCTCTTGCGGTTCTTTATACTCGCGCTGCCACTTGCGCCGCCGTTGCCGCCGCCGCTCTGTTTGCTTGGAGATTATTCGTGATGTCCATCCTCATAGCCGACTACCTAGACCACCTCACCGAGCTGCAAACGACAGCCCTACTCATCCGCAAGCAACAGGACGGAGAAATGTCCCTAAACGGGCTCCCCTCCAAGATCTTCATCTGCATCGGTCCCCATCGCCGCCAACCACCACTACCCGCCGGCACCGCCTCTCCCACCGCCGTGCACGTCATCGCCAGCAGTGCTGACCACTTCCAAGACTTGTCCTCGCTCCATAAGTGGGCCAGGGAGGCCCACGACAGCCGCAAGCAGAGCTTCCCCGCGCAGAACGTAGTGGCCCTCCGCCTCACGGATCAGTTCTACAACAAGCTGCGAGCACGCGCCGGGGACAGTGAGGACCCTCTCACGGCGTGGTACGTGGCCGGAGAGTGGACCAGCCGGGGCATCGTGGTTCCAGCTCCAACTCCGACTTCCGGGTCCAGCGGCAGTGATGGTACTGCTGTTCCTGCAGGTCCTCCTCTCCCCACTCTCCCTCTTCAAAGCCAGAACCGAGACGCACCTGCACCGGCAACGGCAGCGACCGGGACCTCCTTCGACCACTGGGGCGAGACGGCCGTCGCGCTGGACGTCAAGAGCGGCCTCAGGGTATGTCCCCGCTGCACCAAATGCCGCGGCACCTTCCTATTTGCGCAGTCCGCAGACAGCCTCGTCGTCGAGAGCTTCAAGGTCCAGCAGCAGCAGTAGCATGGGGGCGGGACCTCGCCGATGCGCAGGGACTTCCTGAGCGGATCGTGTGCGGAGCACCTGGGCCATCTCTTCTGCACGGCCCTCTGAGACTTCATTTCCGAGAGGAGGCCAGGACGGGCGAGATGGGGGTGGTGATGGTGATGACAATGGGGGATGGTGGGTGGTTGCTCCACGGAGAGGAAAAGATTCCCGCAACGGTTCCGCGGGCAGATTGGTTAGTGGCTGGGGGGGTGGTCGTCGGAAGAAGTGAGCATGGGATTGTAATGACGATAATAATGATGATGACGATGATGACGACCATGGCAAGATGGAATGACTATGAATCGAGATTGATGCGATTATCTAGGTGCATGCCTTGTGTTTATGAATGGAGCCTTGCTGTCCGCCAATGATTGGTTTCGAAAGTACACTGTATATATAATTGTTAGGTTTCATTAAATGATGAGAAGATCCTTAAATGTTCGGACTGATTACCCTGTCCTTGATGACAACAACGACAACATCTAGTGCTGATACTTCGGTCCCTTGTTTCATGCCGAGCCACTCCGTTTCCATGTTGTCGGTGTGCACTGGGCCGACGTGCAGACCGGAATAACAAATAAGATATTTACTATGTCTATAGTGCTGAGTTAGAGGAGCAAAGTCTTACCCCTAACAGCAGTCAGATGACTTCTTTCGCTATTACTTACTTCATTTTACTCACTTCACTTAGCTATTACTACTTACAATACAATAATAGCTACCCCTTCATTCTGAGTACGTTCTTGCGCCCTGGAGGCTTCTTTTTGTGTGCTCTATATAACATCTTGATTGGGTGTTGGTCAGCAGTGGACTCTGCTGCGCTTTTTCAGTGTCTAGAGCGATCTGTGCAACACAGCCTCGACCGTCAATCGAGGGAAATATACGTGAGGTAGGGAAGCTGTGAGAATATGAACTACAATACAACAGACATGGCTAATCGGACTTAACTCGATAGAGACCCGACCGGGGAATTGGTCCTTACGATGATACTACATAGCTCACCGCGAAAGCCGCTTACGCTAGATGAGTGTTTGAATATCAAGTACGCAGGCGGGAGAGATAATTGTGTCGTCATTTGGCATTTGGACGTCATATAATGCGGCCATCTTGAGGTATAATCGAAGTGTGCTGTTGAGGGATGGTGTCAAGGGATGGGCCAACAAGCCACTTCCGTAGCAAAGTAAGGAGAAAAACGTCTGACGGTCTGAAACCGTCACTGTTAATTGAGATCTATCTCACTATATAACAATCGACCTGCAGGGATCAATAGGGGTCCTACAGGGGTCGAAATGTAGCAATCTGGGGGCGCCGTAGTAGTAGGTGAGCCATGGAGATCCACTACACCTTGACAAATCCCGCTTCGGCTGCATCAGGTGCAAATAATGGCACGTCAAGGTAAGAGAAAGAGAGGAAGGCCGCCAGTCATCCCTGCCCTTCAAAGTGGCTGGCAGCCTTTCAGCCTTGTATTAGGGAAGAGCCGATGGGTGCTTGATCCTGACCATCATGCATCATCATGATGCGACGAACAATGACCGTGCCAGAATTGCGTCCGCCATGATGCTCATTGCAGCCTCCTAAACTCCCATCCTCGCTCGTAGCCTTCGAATAGAGCGGTGCGCCACAGAAGCCAAGATGCTGCAATAAGCCCAGGCATCGGAACGCCGAGTCTCAAGAGTCATTCGGACGCTGATACGGTTAGTTCCACTGAACCGTGATACCTTTCTCGTGTGACTCCCTTGCGAGCTCAATGATTCTCAACACATCTCTTGACTGTGTTGGGTTGACAGCCAAGTCTCCCTTGCCGTTGATCGCGTCCGCTACATTCTCATACAAACCCATCCATCTCCCTGTCATCGTCGGATATGGGCCTGTATACTTGTTCGTCTCTGTATCATAGGTTTGGACGCTGGCATCAAATTTCTCGTAGGTGGTTAGTATGCCGCGCATCTTCTCAGATTCAACACCAAATCCTTCGTCGAGGGGCTTGAGTCCAGCACCAATCATCTCCTCCTGCGGGCAGGTACTACGTTGTTGAAACTAGCAAGAATAAGTCTCAGCCTTTAAGTTGTCTTCGTCTATTGACTGAACTTTCTGAACTGGTTCTCGCTCACCTTGATGTAAGAGCCCTTCGTTCCACGAACCAGTTGCTTGAGCTGTCGTTCCATAGGGGTCGTGACGGATGTTTTGACAGTGACAAGCAGGTCCTTCTGGACCCCACTGTACTGCAGAACAATGGTAAAAGAGTCCTCGACTTTACTTTCAATGCCACGCTGGGCACGGAAGAAACCAGTCACAGACTGAGGCCGTCCGAAGAGGGCAAGAGCCTGGTCGACGCTATGGGTACCTATACTGTTAGCATTCATCCTGGGCCAGCTTGTAACTTCCAACTAACCGAGGCCGAAGGCCATGCCAGAGCCAGGTGTATGCTTCTTCTGTGTCATCATCGAAAGCCAGGGCGGCGACTCGAAGTCATAGTGGATTTCGGCTTCCATAATATTGCCCAACGCGCCCTTCTCAACGAGGGTCTTAAGAGTTTGGAAATCACCATCCTCAGTGACAGTCAGCTTGATCAGCTTCATGCATCAAGAGAATATTCAGATCTGTCGCCGCACCTATCGCCGATTTTGAAAACACGTGAGGATAAGATTCATTTGCTGAGATAGCTTGATGACTTTGTCTGCCTCTTCGGATGACGTGGCAAACGGTTTATCCACAATCACTGATCATTATGTTAGTGATTCTCATATATTTCTAAGACGCCCTTGGCCTACCGTGCTTGCCCGCAAGAAGGGCTTCTCTGCAAAGAGAGCATGAGTATCTGTACGAGTTGCGATGACGACAAACTGAATACTTGGGTCGGCAAAGAACTCATCCGCTGTACGGTAATGTTTAGTCATCGGGAAGTCAACGGTGCAGTGGGAACCCTTAGGAGCAGAAGTCGGATCTGAAGGAGCTTCAGCTCTCTGCAAGATAGCAACAACCTCGTAGTCTGGGATGGCTGTGATGAATGGGAGATGAAAGCTCTTGGCAGAAAAGCCATAGCCAATAATGCCAACTATAATAGGAGCCATGACAGAGATTTCTCAATAAAGCTTCTATGAACTATACAAAGTGAGTGCCTGTTTGAAATTATAGTAATCAGAAGTATGAGAGAGGTACCCCATGCTCTATCATTGATAGGTAGGGCGTAGCTAGGAGATGGGATTGTCGTAAAGCAGCCGTCAATGATCATCTGGACATGGATGGTCAGCCTCCCTTCACTTCCTTCCACGCTTCTCTTGGTTGGGTGGAGATCCGATTGTAGTTAACGACGAATCGGTGCTAGCAATCGTCGAACAATCACAACTCTTAGCGTATCTCGACAAATAGCCGCTTTTGGAAGCATGTGGATGTGTTTGCAGGCGATTCCCGGAGCTACAGAGAGTGCCAGAACTCAAAAGTCCCCACCCGGGGAGTTTCGGGGTTATCAACTTCGCAACCATGAGTGTGGGCCCCTTATGCCCGAGGGACTGATCAATGAGTCTGGACCGTTGTCCAATATGAGCGATGGCATTAAAATAACGCAGTCGGTGCAGGTCTCGCAGCACTGAAATGGTTCCATTGAAATAAATTCCAGCATTTTTGGTTCAATTTTGGAAGTTCTACTCTACATTTGATCCAACCTTAGCCCTCGCCAGTCTCGCAGCACACGCCCAATCATCAACTCAGCAAGTCGCGACTATGACCAGTGCGGGAGAGTCCTCGCCCCAATTGCGATGGGGCATCTTGGGTACGCCACAACAACATGCTATGAGAATCTTATTTCAAGCCAGTGTTGACCGTAAACTTCTGCATAATAGGCACAGGATGGATCTCTACAATGTTCACCCAAGATATTCTAGCAGCCAGACCCGATGCTCCAGCTAAGCATACAGTTGTTGCTCTGGGTTCCTCTTCCCTTGAGAAAGGGAGCGCCTTTGTTGACAAGGTGTGGGAAAAGACTCCAAAGCAGCCTCGACCACAGGTATATGCCGACTACCAAGGTGTTTACGATGACCCCAACGTTGATGTTGTCTACGTTGGGACCCCACATTCCCTGCACAAGAAGAATTGTCTAGATGCGATTGCGGCCGGGAAGCATGTGCTGTGCGAAAAGCCTTTTACCATCAACGAGAAGGAAGCCCGTGAAGTGGTGGACGCGGCAAGGCACAAAGGTGTCTTCGTCATGGAAGGTGAGTTGAGATTGTCCGAGTTTATGTGAACCTGCTTATGCTTACTTCCAACTAGCTGTGTGGACGAGGTTTTTCCCATTGTTCAAAGCCTTGCACGAGGAGATCATAGTGAAAAAGTCGATAGGAGAAGTGCAACGTTTCTTCATTGATTTTGGAAACAAGATGCCCCTCGACACACTACCCTCGAACTCTCGACTCAAAGATCCCGCTCTAGGCGCCGGTGCTCTGCTCGATATTGGCGTGTATACGTTGACATATGCGTCGATAATTCTGGGTGACTGGAAGGTCGGCAAGCAGCATCCAGGACCGATAAAGGTGACTTCGTCTCTGGACATTGTCAATGGAATAGACGAGGCGAATGTCGTCGTACTTGATTACCAGTCTACCAATGAAGCTTCGAAGAAGACGGCAATTTGTACATCAACCTTCCGACTTCGAGGAGCGGAGGACTTTGCTCGTATCGAAGGCTCCAAGGGCAGTATCATCATTTTTGGCCTTGGAGTAAGCGTACCCGGTGGTTTTCGTTGCATCAAAGGCTTGCGACCGGGTTTCGGGGAAATTGATGAAAGATCAGAGAAAGTGTTCACTGTAGAGAAACCAGAGGGTACTGTGGGATTCTTCTGGGAAGCGGACGCTGTGGCGGAAGATATTGCTCATGGTCGAAATGAGAATGCTATCATTCCGTTGGACGAGACGCTACGAATGATGAGACTAATGGATGGCATTAGACGTGAAGCAGGGTTGATATATCCACAAGACAGAGACTAACAGTGTTGTTGTAATATGTCGCCATGTATGACATAGTTCATGCTGTTGGAATCTTCAGGCTTCAGCAACGAGAAAACAATCTTTCCCGCTAGTCTATGTGATTGAATAGCAAATCCAAGATTTCACGTGCTCGCATGATGTCTGGTGGGCTTTCGGACTCCCAGTATCGAAGCTTCTCTGGGCAAACTCGAATAGTTTCGGTCGTAAATATTCTCTTAGACAACAGGTGTTGCCACACTCCAGGACTAGTATTGTGGTGGACCAGTATGAACTTGTCGTTCTACCATCGAGGTTTTAGGTGATCGGCCACACTACCCATGACCAGCTGCATCGCGAGTGAGGTCCGCCTGACACCCAGACATGAGCCAAAAACTCTCGCATATCAACCAAGCCACAGGCCTTTGTCGATTATCCAGCATTTTGCGCAGGGAGCGCACGTATTTCAGGCGTCAAGGGTTATGACGGACGTATGTCGATACTTCTGCATGCTTGTTTGCTCCGGGTTAGGTGCATCTCTCGCCGACTATCCCGAGACTCCCCGCCAGGACTGAACGAAGTTAGCTCTCTGAACGACGGTGGCTTACTTTCCTGATTCCAGACCTCATCCCCTAGAGCTTTCTGCAACTGAGCACCCCAATACAACCATCCCCGCCCTCCACAGCATCTTTCCCCGCTTAGGGTTTGGCTCCCCACGGGGATGGTAGTGGGGACGGTAGTTCATTCTGATTCATGCGTCGTCCTGGTGCTTTCCCGGCCTGTAACGCGTTCAACAACCATAAATACTTGTCCATTCCGCGCAGCCATCTCTCCCATCATGAACATGAGCATACATTGATGCCTTGACTGGATCACTTCTAAAGTTGTTTTTCCTATTTACCATGGGTGCTAGTACTTTCAAGTCTGTGGGAGGAGAACTTGCCGCAGCTCTGCCTCTAATTGACAAGCCCTGGTACAAGAAACGAAACCAAGTATTCCTCAACTTCTGTATTATGAGCCTTTTCCTTCTCTCGTCGAGTAACGGCTACGACGGGTCAATGATGAACGGTTTACTTGCTCTTCCACACTGGCAATCGTTTATGAAGTTTCCCAATGGTGCTTGGCTCGGATTCATAAGCGGCGCCCAAAATCTTGGCGGAATTTTCTTTTATCCTGTCGTCGCATGGTCGTCTAATCGCTATGGTCGCAAACCAACCATTTTCGCGGGCTACTTCTTTCTGTGCCTAGGTGTGGGTTTGCAAACCGGAGCATTAAACATTCCCATGTTTGTAGTATCACGCGTCATTGTTGGCGTCGCAGGAGCTTTCTTTGGCGGTTGCGTGCCCTTATTGATGACTGAAACAGCGTATCCCACTCATCGCGGCGTTCTCACTAGTCTCTATATGTGCGGGTGGTATGTTGGTAAGTGTTCATCAACCCTCAAAATGCATGCAAGCAACCATGATGCTGAGAAGATTAGGCTCTTTCCTCGCTGCATGGTCCACGTTCGGGACCCGCAACTACGACAGTTCGTGGTCTTGGCGTATCCCGTCCATCCTCCAACTACTACTCCCTATAATCGTACTTCCCGGACTCATAATGATGCCGGAATCTCCACGTTTCTTGGCCTCTAAGAGCCGGTATGAGGACGCTCGAGCATTCCTTGTCAAGTACCATGCAGAAGGTGAAGAATCGTCCCCCTTAGCTGCATTCGAGCTTGCGGAAATCACCCGAAGCATTCAAATGGAGAATGAGTTCCAGAAGAGTAGTTCGTACCGAGAAATGATTGCCACGCCTGCCAACCGAAAAAGAACATTCATCACCATCTTCCTCGGAGTCTTTGATCAGTGGGCTGGCCAGAACGTTGCGGGCTATTATCTGTCTCCAGTCCTCACTATCATCGGCATCAGAACCGTCACGCAGCAGACCCTCATTAACGGATTCTTACAGATCTGGAATCTCATATGCGCCTTAACCGGTGCGTTCAACGTCGATCGTGTCGGGCGTCGCTTTCTCTTCCTTGCAGCCACCCTTGGCATGCTCATATCTTACATCCTGATCACTGCGCTTTCCGCCACCTTCGCAAAGGGTCAATCAGCCGCGGTTGGGACAGCCGTTGTACCGTTTCTCTTTCTCATGTATGGGTGCTTTTCTCTGGCTTTCACCCCGCTATTGACGGCGTATCCCGTCGAGATCTGGCAGTACAATTTGCGAGCCCGTGGCCTATCCGTGCTGTGGATATCGACTGCTATAGCCGTCTTCTTCAACATTTTCATTAATCCTATCGCACTCGACGCTATTGAGTGGAAATACTATATATTATACGTGTTCATTCTGGCCGGCGGGGGCGCCGTTATTTATTTCACATTCCCCGAGACGCGAGGTCATAGCCTTGAGGAGATGGCGCGTGTCTTCGATGGAGAGAACGCACCGGTTCCCAAGGAGGGCAAAATTGCAGACGATATTACGATATCCGGAGCTGCCATCCACATTGACAATGCTAGTCGGCCCGGGGTCTAAGCATTTAATTCAGTCTAAATCACTCAGCATCGGTGGCGTGGCCGTTTGACGCAGGAAATAACAGGCCTATCCATGTAGAGCGAGACCTGCTACTATACGGTTCATCGATGTTGTGTGGGTGGATGTCGGTCATATGGCAAGATGGCCATGGAAACTATTGCTTCAAGGTCTGCCGGGGAAGATAAGGGTACGTGCACTTCGGAAATCTCATGTGGTGTCTATTGAGACCGTACTGGTATATGCAAAAGCGCTTGGAATGCAAGTCCTTCAAGTTAGTGGTATATGTAGGAGTATTTCGCAACTTATTGAAGACAATGTGCATGTGTGTTACCCTCGTCCCCGCCTATCCGCAACAGGTCTGCAAGAAGCTCCCGCCGTGAACAAAGTTATCTCGTGGGAAATTTTATTTCATATGTCCACGATATCATTAAATTTGAATGCTCCGAAGCCACTCATTAGCCGCAAGACTGTGTTCAGCCTAGCATTGCAACGTCATACCGGGGAGATACGGAGAGTTCCCCGAATGAAATGGGGTAGACATGGAACTCACCTGAGTCATTAGCGCTGTCCCGGGGAGGTACGGGGAATTTTCCGAATGAACCCATTTTGGGAACACTAGCGCCCTCCCGGGGAGTTTCGGACTACCTTCAGACGGCAGAATCTCGATTACAATCGTTGCTAGCGAGATAGAGACCACGCCAGAGAAGGATTTGTCAAGATAAGCTTGACTGACTTCTACGTGGGATATACAAATATTTTCTATCATAAGTATAAACGTAGACCACGGAGGATACAGATACCCTTTGCATAGACTTGGTTTCTCACTAATTGCAAGAGCAATGGCAACCAATCCGCTAGGCACTCCATTAACAGGTGTGAGTTATGTTCGGTTTCATTTCTGGTCCTATGTGGAGGAAGTGAACTTTTACTTACCACAACAGTTTGCCGAGATTACGGCACAGGAGAAGTCGCTTGCCCTGCCTCATTTTACTGCCGATGACGCCTTTGAGATAGGAGTCTTGATACGGAATCGTCTGAGAGAAGTCAGTGACAATGCGGCAGTGGTGAATATTACGCTTGCGAACAACAAACAACTGCTCTTTCATGCCTCGTCACGGCCTGGGACTGTACCGGAGAATGACAACTGGGTGGCACGTAAGAGAAACTTTGTGCTTAGGTTTGGATGGAGCACCTGGGCCGGTCACAATCTCTTCGATATGGGTAACGAGGACGCATTCAAGGCCCGGTTCCAGCTGGGCGAGACGGCTGGTGACTATGCGATACATGGCGGTGGCTTCCCTATCCGTGTCAAAGGCGTGGAGGGGCCAATTGGTGCGATTGTTGTAAGCGGTCTCGCCCAGGAAGAAGATCACCAAGTCATTATAGAGTCTTTGCAGGCATTTTTGACTGCGGAAAAGTAGAAGCAGCTGTTCCCAGCCTCCGCTTCATGAAGCTTGTGGAGCGGGTTGACGCGATGAGGGAGTGCATCTAGATGTAATTATAGAGTTCTTTTATATGATCATAGCAGAATTCTACCATATTCGAATTTTTAGCTCTCGTTTCTGGCATGAGCTACGATGGTCCCTTTAGCGCAATTTTCCATGGCCAAGATAGAGTGGTTGGAGAAAGTATCAGATCATAGCATACGGTGAGAAGAATCATCTTTTGTAATTACCGGTTCTCAATCACAGACTTTACACTCCTAGATTTTACTAAGTCAACACGGCACACCTTCTCTAGGCTTGACTACGCCAGGCTGAATCTAATAACCTCCTCGCCAAATCAGCTCTATATACTTTCGGAATCAAAGGAATATGTTGTTCCAGTGCCCTTCAGCTTGTGCAGTTCGTCGACGGCTGCTTCGAAATCGAATTTTCGTACTGCCAGCACCGGTATAATCTTATGCTCAAGCATTGCGAATATCTGGCCTTTGCAGTTACGCAGTCCCCGCAAGAACGAGAGACATGCCTCTTTACCCCAGATGCCTCTTCAACCAAAAATCATTCTGAACGAATTTCATGTGCATCAGAATCCCAGAGCCTCATCGCGATAAAAGCCTAGTATAATGGGCCATACTAAGGCATCCCTCTGTCGTATATCCCATCCCGGACTTTGCATTGTGTAAAGAATAGCTGCAATAGCAATGATTAAACCCACATGATCGGACGGCTCTACCGTCACGGCAAGAAAAGTCGTGCAGATAATGGCTTGTTATGTCAGCCAATTGCCCTGCTCGTCCTCCCACCCGAAGTCCTCACAAGACCATCCCTGCAATGTCCTTTTCCCGTCCATCTCTACAATTAAGTCACCGATTTTGTCTGCAATTCTATATCTTTGTAAGGTATTGTGCGCGTCATTGATGAGGGCCATTTCCTCGTCGGTCAAAGTCACAAGCCGGATATTCTCAACAACGCGAGCTTTTGACATGCTCTTTGGAATGACAGTTATGCCGCGCTGGACAGCCCAGGAAAGTGAAACAACGCCGCTCGAGCAGCCATGTTTCTTTGCAATACCTGTGAAGAGCTCATGGGACAGAATCAAGCCACCGGGGCCGTCTCGTTCTCCTCCCATGGTGCTAAGTATGGACTCTTAGTCTCGAGTTCTTATTTCGTACGGCATAATATTACAAGCAGTTGGGTAGCAGATGAGTAAAAGGTTTTCTTACCTCCAACTCATGACGTGAATGCCATGTGACCCGCAGTATGGTACCAACTTGTGATTTGGGTTCAGCGCGTGGAGTTCGACCTGATTGACGGCCGGCTTGATTTTGGCAATGTCAAGAAGCGCATCAAGTGTCTTCTGCGTGAAATTGCTGACGCCGATGGCCCTGCATGACGGGCCGGGAAGTTCTTCCATCTTTTTCCAGGTCTCAATGAATGTTGGGCTCTCGTTGATGCGCAGAGGCTTCATTTCCGGAGCTGGTGTTGTGGCCCATGGCCAATGCATGAGCATCAAATCGACGTAGCCAACATCCAGATTCTCGAGAGAGATGCGCAGGGCCTCGGCAGGGTCGTGATGCCACTGGCCCCAGAGCTTCGTCACAACGGTGATCTCGGACCGGGGAATACCACTATTCCGAATTGCACGGCCAATGACATGTTCTACCCCATAGTATTGTGCGGTATCAATGAGACGATAGCCTGCCTTGAGGGCGTAAATTACCAATTCCTCAAGGGCCTTGGCATCTTCAGTGCCGAAGCCACCTTTACGTCAGGTTGGTTAGAAGGACGGTTCTGGTTGGAATGGGAGCTGAGATATTTATTATCTTACCTTGCCAGGTTCCCAGGCCAACGGCAGGAATCTCGTCGCCTTCGTATTTAGAAATGATTTATTAGTTACACCACTCTCCTGTTAGCTCTGCCCCAGGGATACATATGCGTACATACCGTTCCCCAATTTAAAGGTCTTGATACAGACAGGTCGGTCAGCCATTGGAGGCAGCGGAAGAAATGATATTGCTTGGTTACGGATCCAATTGTAGAATGGGTTAGTTCAGCGAGTAGGAAGGGATTGATATACGTCCACGTATAATATGCGCTAAAATCTCACTACAGGGGTATCCCCCTGCTTAGCCATCCCTAGCCAGGTTTCTTCCACCTGTTACCTCGCAGAAATTCGGATGATTACACGTGCATTTTGATAAACCCTGTCGGTGAAGGCAACAACACTGATCGAACCGGTTGTCAGCTGATCAGCGTTGAGCAGATAGGCTTTACGCCCTCGGCTATCTCGACGAAGAACCTTAGTTTCAGGCCCGCATTACTTCATCTTGCTATACCACCGGCTGAAAGAAGGCCACTCACGATATTCGGTGTCTTTCTAAGACAGAAAGCTCCAGATCGCACGAGCTTGAGAAATATGTGAGAGCAGTCTTGAATGGGTGTGAAAAAATAGAATAGTGACCAACGCCAGTTTGGTATACCGATTCAACGGTGCCTTCCACGGCGGACCAATTATATCGAGGGCAAGCATTCTCGTCGTCACATGCCTGTGCACTGCATTGAGTTTGTTATCATAATTAATACAGGTTTAAAGTCCCAGTTACTAAGATACGTTTACACAAGATGGCACAATATATTCTCCATATCTAAAACGAAGGAGTTCCTATCTTTGGCTTCCTATCTGACTGGCATGTGATCATTGTTTGGAATTAGATTGGAACACCTCCCAGAAGAACTTTTAAAGCCATTGTCTTTTCGATTTCGCCTTTGCGAGCAATTAGCTCCTCCGCATCCCAATTGACCCAAATAAACTTTCCATTGAGAAATGCCGCCTCAGGTGATGCAAGCCATACTATGAAGTTGGCAGGGAGCTCAGCTATTGGCAGTTAGTACGGGAAGTGACTTTTTAAGTGGAACATGGCGCATGGCCTTCACGGCCGGGGCATTCGGTAGCTATGCAAACCACTACACAGCGGGAGAAGACTACGTACGTTCATCTTGCCCAGGCATTCCAGTCACCTTGTTCAAATCTGTAACAACGACTCCGGGTTGAATGTTGACAATGTGCAGCTCGGGATGCTCAGATGCAACATAGTCGAATAATCGAACTATCGCTGCCTTGGTCACGGAGTAAGCCACAAGTCCAGGAAGAGGCGCAATATGACCGATGCCTGAAGATATATTGAACAACTTAGCATTCGGAGCAGCCAGGGGTAGGAAACTCTGAATGGCATTGAACGCGCTCATGACGTTGACCTCAAACCCCCGGCGAAAATCATCTTCGCTGTAGCCTTGTACTGGCCCAAGTGTTGGCATTATTCCTGCCCCAGAAATGAAGATATCAATTTTTCCAACTTCGCTAGCGATGTTCGTCAAGGCTCTGTCGGCATCGGCCATGTTAGCCATGTTGGCGGGCTCGCATAGAATACGGGTGTGATGGCCAGCGGCCCGAATGTCGGCAGCGGCAGCTTGAAGGCGCTCTTTTCGGCGGCCAATGATTGCGATAGAAGCTGCTCCAGCCTGTGCGAAGGCAATAGCAGCGGCTAGCCCAATACCTGAGCCTCCGCCCGTCACAATAACGTTCTTGCCAGCTGCCGAGAGTTCAGGCCGTTTCGGAGAGATGAAAGGATATGGCTTATTGTGCCATGTCTCCGTGAAAGACACATATCCTGCAGAACTAGGATAGCCTTCTTTCAAAGACATTTTCTGAAATATGAATATCGTTCCTGATGAGACTGTTGTTTACTTGTGGAAGCGAAGAGTCTCAAGTAATTATCATGGTGCAAATATTCTGCCGAAACAGGCAGGGTTCTGTGCTGTGGAGCGAGAGCGCATAGGAAGAGCTTATTCCTTCTCATTAGGCTCTTCTTTTATCTAATTGTAAGCAAGGAGGTTCCGTCGGTGGTTATGTTGTCTAGCTATTTAATAATTAGTGGCTAGTCGCTTAGCTAATGCGTCCTTCCGCTGCCGCCGCGGATGTTCCGTAGCATGATAAATCCTCCGTCCGGGAAGAGCTCTGATTCAGCTTTCGAGGCTTTCGTTCAACACACGTCCAACGTGATAAATTTTTAGCTCTCCGGTCATTCAGTTGCTCTTAGCTTAAAATTATCTCTTTCCAGAAATTGTGTAGCCCCAACAGGATGAGTTCCTTAAGCTGTTCCCATCAAGGAAAGATTCAGCTCATGGATAAGTATTTCAACTTTGCAGTTTCAACGGAAGACCTAATTCTTGTTCTACCGCACCAAAACTGCATATAAAAGGGTTCTTTTCTCGCATTTACTTTGTTCCAACCATTGCTATTTCGATGTAGATAATTGACATCGGTCACCAAGCAGTCTCTATACTTGAAAAGCAATACGACTTGGTTTCAGGACTATTCGACAAGTATTTCGCCATCAATCCCGAACTTCGATACCAGAAGAGTGAATTCCAGTTTTTGGCTCTTTCTAAAATGTCATCACAAAGCATCAGTGCCTCGCGGCCCGCAGAGTCAATTGGGTTCGATCCAAACATCCCCAACGACCAACTCGTGACCCAGATCAACATAGATCACCTCACTCACAGAAGGAAAGCCCAGCTTTAGATTGGGAACCAAAAGGCAGAGAGATACGCGGTATACGCTGGCTCAGCACCTGCATGGAGCTATGTCACCTGCGCCTTGTACGGACTTGACACAACAGTCACAGCTAACGTCCAAGGCGCGATAATCCAGGTGTTTGGACATGTGGAACCACTGGCCTGGGTCGAAGCAGGCTTCCCAACATGAGCGCTCTAATAGTCGGCCGTGCCATTGCTGGCGCTGGAGGCAGCGGCATCAACCTTGGCTCGCTAAAATTTGTCGCAAACCTGATCGCGCCCAAGGAACGCGGTTTGTACATGGCACTCATTGAATTTTTCTGGGGCATTGGTGCTATCCTGGGACCCGTCGTCGGCGGCGCATTTTCCTTATCATCGGCGACTTGGCGCTGGGCCTTCTACATTAACCTAGTCATTGGCGCCGTTGTTGCCCCTGCTTATATCTTTGCACTCCCGTCTGTTCATCCAATGTCTGGGATAAGCATCAGGAACCACATCTTGGGCCTCGATTCCTTAGGTTTTTTCCCTGGTGCTGGTGTGTGGACTTCCTTCCTATTGGCTTTCACAATGGCTGGTGGCAGGTGGCCTTGGAACGACGAACGCAGTATTGGCACGTTTGTGGCCTTTGGTGTCACGTTGACTCTCTTTATTCTACAACAGTATTTTGCCGTCTTTACCACACCCACTAGACGAGCCTTTCCAGGTCACCGGCTCAAAAAACGTACCAAGGTGCTCCTCTATATTGAGACGGCTGCGGGCATCACGACACTCTACGTTATCATCTACTTTATTCCCATCTACTTTCAATTCGTCAACAATGATAGCGCTATTATGGCAGCGGTGCGTTGCTCCCGTTTGTCGTAGTTGCCATCATTGTGAACCTTATCTCAAGTTATTTACTGAGCACCATCAAAATCTACCTGCTCATATACTTGATAAGTAGAGTACTTTTAACCATTGGTGGAGCTCTGCTAACATTATTTCTCTATCCCAGCACGTCGACAGGTGCTATGTGCGGCTTAACTGTCGTCATTGCCTTGGGTAGCGGCTTAGCAATGCTGACAGGCTTTGCAATCGCTACACTGACTACCAAACCGGAAGATGCAGGTGCGGCAATAAGTATGCAAAATATTGCACAGCTTGGCGCTTAAGTAGCTTCACTCGCAATTGCTGGTCAGATCTTCCAGTCAACTGCTGTTGAGAACCTACAAAAGGCTCTAGCAGACCATGGGTTTTCGGAACAGGATATCAAGGACGCCGTTGCTGGTGCACAAAGTATATTATTTGAAAAGCTCGATGGGGAGCTGCGAGATGTTGCAGTGTTAGCTGTTGCCCAGGCGATCCAAAAGGCTATCATACTGGTCCCAATTGCTGTAGGCGTCATGTTGCTTGCTGCCCTCTGTATGAAGCGAGAGAAGCTGGTAGGAACCGCTGTAGCAACTGGTGCATAATAGTCATCGGTTGAGCATATGTATGATCATACTGCGTGGATATTGCTGTTTTGTCAATGACCCGTAGAAGTTATTGATCTGATAGTCCTGTTGAGCAAACTAGGTGCAGGAAGTTAGGCCAGCATGTAGACATATTCAACTACTCTTGCGTGATAGACACATCATTTCAGTTCTAAATATCTCCTTTATAAATTAGGCTCGTTGTACCCAGACACAGTATCTGAATTCTTTAATCTAAGTTTCACATAATAGCAAGCAACTTATCCATGCGTCGAATAACATACTTTGGATGTTTAGTGCTGATGGGTTGTACTATGCCTACAATTGCCCACCAATTTTGGTGCTACCACTACAACCCCTTTGAAACTCTGAACAACGGGTCTGAATGGGTGTTTTGAATCGATTGAGCAGAGCAGGACGAGATTGGGAGTCCAGAGATGTATTGAGCTGAATTTGCCCAAGAACAATCAAAATAGGTGGGCGGTTCTATGGAAATGGAAGTGATCCCTACCACCTCCTCCAGCAACTCTACAATTAACCACCAGCGGCCCTAGTATTTGTCAGCAATGTCAGCAAAATTCGACGAACGACAGCACTAGCCTTGCCCATCCCAATACCATTCTTCCCTTTAGACCACCATTTTGATCAGATAGGGTTGTTTTTCAGTTTGAATGCGAATGTTGAAATTCTATGTTTAAGTTCTCGTACAATCAAATTTACAAAAAGATAAATCCAAAATGGAGCGAGGGAAGCAGCATAGAAAGGTATAGAATTGCGCCTGAGCTAGTGAATCTTCAATCACCTTATGTTAGTACGTTGTGATAAATTACTCACTAATTTCTTCTAAGGCTTGCGACTTTTGCTATCGAAGAAAAATCAAGTGCGATGCAAAAAAGCCTCGCTGTTCTCATTGCGAAGTCTACGACTCCAAGTGCACGTATGGAACTGCTAGCCGAAAAGTTGTGCCAAAGAATCAAGCAGCTACTGGACTCGAAAATGCCATGAAGTCTCGAATCGAAGAACTTGAAGAGAAACTAGGGAATTATTTGGATAGGATCGAAAAACTTGAACTCGCAATCGCCGACTCTGGCGACAAGCACTTACTGCTGTCTACTGAAATCAACGCTAGGGGGTCAACTCACCGCCGTCACAATGCACAGGCTGGTTGGGAGCTACCTCCTTTATACCAAATCCTACCAATAGTCGAAAGATACCTTGCTACGACTAACGCCATCCTTCCACTTTTCCATCCAGGAACACTACTACACACAGTCAAGATGTGGTCCGGTACACCACAGCGGAGAAATCGCACTGACTGGGCAGTCATAAATGTCGCTCTGGCACTGGCACATTGCCTTAGTGACCCAGATGACTCGATTGTGACTGGACGAACCTCAACATATCTCAATCACACCCAATCGGTCCTTACGGAACTAATAATGGGAGACCCGGATCTTGCCGTCGTCCAGGTCGTCATTGGCATGGCAATGGTACTCCAAGCGACCTATAATCTAAAACCAGCAGCAATTCTGACTACCACTGCGCTAAACTTGGCCCACAGTCTTGGGCTACATATAAGGAATAAATCTAAACATATCGACCCCGTTATTGCGTTGCAGCGTGATCGTGTCTTTTGGATGGCTTATATTCTCGACAGAGACATGAGCATGCGAACAGCACAACCTCCCATACAGCGCGACGAGGATATTTCGTTGGATCTACCGCCAGTCGAGCCCGAAATCGACCACGCAGGCTTCGTCTTCGCGGCAGACGGCATCGTTAAAATGAATTTCTTTCGAGTTCGCGTACAACTGGCGTATATACAAGGAAAAGTATACGACCTAGTGTATTCGGTCTCGGGATTGAGCACGGGGCTTGAGGAAGCCACTGCTAAGACTTTGAATACGTTTCACCTACTAGACGGCTGGACCTCTCAGATCCCAATTGATTTCCAGGCTGCAACACTCGTGCAGACCGACCCGTTGAGTCTATCAAGACACTTCTGCGTGTTGTACTCAAGTAGCCACCTAAGCCGGTTCATCATAAGCAAATCGAGCTCCTGGGATCCCAGCTGGGTAGGCCGCCTACAAGACTATGGTAGCAAGATTATCACAGGGAAAAGTGACCAAGTTGCACCAGTGCCACAAGGGTGGCTGACCCTACTAGATGAGTCAAGGAAATTCATGGCTCTATTCATGAATGTCAATCCTAAGGACACATCGTTTGTTTGGTACGTGTTTACCATAACACCGATAATGAAGTAAAGCACATTGACGAACCTTTAACATCCAGGATGACGAGCTGTCCCTATATTTCCAGCATGGTGTGCCTGGTAGCACAGACCATATTCGACCCGCAACATGAATTCGTGCATTATGATCGTCAATTGATAGAGGCAGGCATGGTATTCCTAGATGAGTTTTCGAAACAAGCAGGCCTCGAATCACTTGAGACGCTATTTCATACCTGTAAAGAGCTTCATTCATATGTAAGAGCAGTAAGAGCCATCTCATAATGGAAATACGATCATCCCGACTATCAAGTTTGAGAAACGGACCTCAAGTCAATGTATCAATGAAATAGCACGCAATTCATATATTCAAAACCGTCTAAATGCTAAATGTAGATAGTACAAATATTCTGTGATCTTGGAATGGCGTAGTGGCGTAGCTGTGTTGCGGCGTCTGAGATGCCTTTTACCTTTATAAACGAGGAGAGGAGGGCATTCTTTCGCCTGGCATTATTTGGGAAGTCATACCGCCGCCGGGTCCTAGGAGCTCTACCGCCACGATATAGAGGTAGTGGAACACAGCGGGTAACCAGAATTCAGACCGACCTCACTGAGCGGGATGAATTACCATTCCCCGCCTAGCCTGTTACTTACATGATGATTTGTCAAAGCAGAATTCTATTAAACTGAAATCCGGTCTAGTCCCCGCATGCATTACCATTGCCAACTAAATATTAACTTGCCCCTGTTTCCACTGCCCGATTGTTTCGCCGAGGACTGTCTTGAAGAGGAACATTACAGTACTAGTAAGAATCATCGCCTAACTATGTAGCTACTGACTTGATAGCAGCAATGATGCCGTCCACGCCCAGTCCCTGAGCATTCACTTGCTCGTGTAGTCCACCGCTTCCTTCTTTGATGGCACCAATGGACTTGTATTTCGGGGTCAAGTTACGCTCAAGAAGATGGGACCCTAGTCGAGACCCAAGTCCAGTCTTCTGAGCGATAGACTCAACGACAACCACAAATGGCGAAGAGCCGTAGAGTTTGATAGTCTCCTCGTCGACAATATTCAGAGTCGGCTTGTTGATAAGACCAACGTCAAGACCTTCCTTTCTTAGACGCTCGACGGCGTCAAGGGCGCGGAATACCATATCGCCGTACGAAACGACGTAGCCAGCAGAGCCACGGCGTATCACCTCTTCTTTCCCAGGAACAAACTCATAGCCCTCGCCATAGAGCAACTGATCCGAACCTTCCTTCAGGATGTAAGGAACTTTCGATCTAATAGAGAAGATGAATCGCAGACCCTTGTCGAAGAAGACTTTCTTCACTACCGCCTTCATCTGCTCGCCATCGGCCGGAAAGTAAAGGGTCGTAGTCTCCGCATCCATCAGACCATTGTCTGCGAAGAAATGATTCAATCCGAAATGGCATGTGTTGTCAGCCATTCCTGATATCCCTGAATGCGAGAAACTGCTTCCCGTTAGCTTTTCCGTTGCTCATGACAGATAAATTGGTTGTTGTTGGGGGGGGGG